ATTCAAAGTGGGTGGCCCTGGAGGACATTATGCTGAGTGAAATATCTCAGTCACAAATACTGCATGGTGCCACTGTTGTAGAATGGGTCTGACATCAGGGTGGGGGTATGACAGAAAAAACTGGAATAAATTATGTATATTGTATTGAAACAGATGAGGGAAAGAACAGATTAGAAGTGATACATGATTGAGTATTATGGTTTGCACAGGAATCCAGGATTAAGGTTGCATAGAGAAGTGTACTCGGGGTGGGGGGTGGGGGGAAGGGATGTGGGAATTGTATACTAATGAAGGAATTTTATTTTTTTCTCTCTCTCTTCGGAGGGGGAAGCGAGCTGGTGGGAAGGGAGAAAATTGCGGCAATGAATGAATGGAAATCAAAACCTCTGTAAAAAAATAAAAAAATTATAAAAAAAAATAGAAGGATAACTAGTAAGAGTGTTTAAATATCCAGAAGAGGAAAAGAAAAGAGGGAATGGTGGGAAAAATGCAAGAGAGGAAATCACTAGACAGCAGAGTATAGTGAGCATTTGGGGACCAGGAGCAGGGCAGTGAAGGAATAGGAAAGATTCAAAGGGGACTCAAAAACACAGGGTAATAATATGCATACATTAGTACCCATTATATAAAATACAATGTATATGAGTGATTATTTGAAACAGTGTAAATTAAAGATTATGTAAAACAGTTTATGTGAATGAAACACAGTGTAAACATATTATTATATGCAAACCAATAAAAATTAAAAAAATTTTTTTTTAAAAATTAGTAAATGGAGTGCTGCCAAGTCAGTTCCACCAGCAACCCTGAGAGACCAGGCTGGGCTTCCAGGCTGCCTGCATTGACGCACGGCTTCTTTCTCCTCCTGCGGTTTGAACCAGCAGCGTTTTGGTTACCAATGTTGTACCTTAACAACTGTGACATCAGGGCATTTTCCAGGATCTGTTAAATGGAAAAATCAAACCTAAGTGCCAGGAAGTCAGCCCCACTGGGTTTCCCCGACTACATTTTTACAGACCGCCCACCTCTCTCCAAGAGGGCGGGTGGATTTGGTTAGCGGTGCAATGCCTTCAACACAGCACCTACGGAGCTTTCCAGGACCTGTGGTCTGCAGTCCAGTCGCAGCCGGCCCGCAGCTGCCCCTCTAGAGGGGTTTCAGAGGCCGGAAGTCGCCGTGGAGGAAATTGCACACCCGCCTTCTGTGGAGCAGCTGGCGGGTTCGAACTGCTTGCCTTTGGGATTGCAGCGCAGCTCTTTACCACGCACTAGACCAGGGCTCTCGTGGAATTCCATCAGGAGTTGAAGAGAGGTGTGCAACAATGAATGCCTGGAAACTCTAAGCCTCTGTAAACTTTCATTAAAATTAATAATAATAAAAAAACCATTGAAAAGGTGCTCCACGTCCACCTGAGGCCCAAGGAGAGCGCCACAGGTGTCTTAAGTCAGCTCCTGGTCATCTTGGGGTGACGCGGAGGCCCTCCAAATGACCCACGCACAGAACATCACCTCCCAGGAAAAGGCTCTCCTAGTGGACAGCGCAGGACCACTTCCCTTCCCTTCCCGTGGGAGGAGTCATGGAAGCTCGCCAGCTTCCTCCAGTGTGTGTGGGTGCTCGCGGGACATTAAAGCCTTGGTGTTGACCCCTGGCCAGGCAGCTTGCTGGCCCCCCTGTGAGATGGGTGACCACTGCTGGGACAGAGGGGCCTTTTCCAGCTCCTGGGGAGACCCGCACCGCAAGGCCAGCGGGGCTTCCAGTCTCCAGACAGTGACCCCACACTCCAGTGACCATTTCAGAGCAAGCTTCTAGGCAGCAGGCTGTGGAAACCCGGGTTCCCTCACGAGACCCTCGCCTCCGGCGCCGGAGCCGCTCGGCTGGCGGGGTCCCTCGCCCCGCTCCCCTTCCTTATGACCCGCAGCCCTGCCTCGAATTGGGCCCGGGAGGCGTCATCTTCCAGAGCCTGGGGTGGGGTGGGAACGGAGGTTGACTTAAGGAAGGAAGAGGCAGCCATTTTGAACCCCGACGAAGGCATGGGAGGGACGTTACTGGGCACTCTGCCTGCCTGGGTGCCGCCATTTTAAGAGCGGACGCTGCGGAGCCGCGCCGTACGGCGGATGCAGTGCCGTACGGGGGGGGGGGTGGTGAACACAGCGCCTTACGGCCGACGTAGTGCCATACGGCGGATGCAGCGCCGCGAAGGCCGCCATGGCCCCGTGTCCCATGGCGGCGGCCATCTTGGAAGAGGAATGGCGGTGGGCGCGGCCATCTTACAACTAAAACCGGCCCCTTTCTCGGTAACCGGAGCCAAACTCCTCCTCCCTGCTGCCTCTGCCTGCTTTCTCGGTCTGTGACTGCCTCCCTGAGTCACTCCCTGAGCCTACCCCGTACTGTCTGTGTTTCTCCTCTCCCTCCTCCCCTCCTTGTGGGGCGTGTGAATCCTCCCCGTAGCCCCTGAGCGTCTGTTGAACACTCGCACGCGCGCCCTCCCGACCCCGCAGGTCCCCGACCTCTGACAAACGTCTGACCGGTTCTCGGGCCGCGCCCGCCTCCCGTCTGTTGACCGAGGACCCTGCCCCCCCCCCCCAAGAACGTGAACGCGGGCGCCGGCCTGAGACTCCGGGTGCCTTTATTCTCCCAAGGGCTCTGCCCTTCCGGTGGCCCCAGGTGAGGCCCCGCTCATCCCTCTCGCCGCCGACCGAGCGGGTCCCGGAGGGAATCGGGCCGGATGACGGGGCCCTTGTCTTGGATTCAGAGACGAGCGGCCGAGGGCAGGGGGCGTGGGCTGGGCCGCGGTGGCCCCGGCGTGGACACAGGGGGAGCCTGGGGCTTCGGGGATCCTCACGGCGTGGGTGCGGGGGTCCGAAGGGAGGGGCTCGGGGAAGCCGAGGACGAGGTGGAGGAGGGACGGGGCCGCTCAGAGCAGGGCGCAGAAGAACTTCTTCTCCCGAAAGGGGTTCTCGGACGTGGGCACGGGGGTGATGAGGGGGTCCTCGCAGGCGTGGGCATCGCAGTAGGTCATCAGGTCTGCGGCGGCCTTGGACACCTGGGGCACGGCCAAGGGCGGGTGGTCAGCCGCCCCGCGCGCCGGGGCCGCCCTCGGCCATCTCCCCAAGGGCCTCCTCGTCCCCCCACCCTCAGCCTCGGCCAGAGGCCCGGGGATGGCCAGCTCGTGCAGGGAGGGGGTCCCACCCACCTTTATCCGGCACAAGCTGGCTTCAATCTTCAGCTGTTCCACCATCTTGCGGGCCTGGCCGATGCTCATCGTGCTGTTCACGGGGGTCTCCCCTTTCATCCTGCAGAGGCGAGGAGGGCTCCCTGCATGCTCACCCCTCGGCCTCCCACTGTGAGATCTCGTGTCCACCCGGCCCCAGGGATCCTGCCCCACGCCCCAGGGATGACTGCACGAGGGGTCCCCACATGGTTGGGGCCACAGACCCTCGCCCCGCACACGTCCTAGGGGGTCCTCGCCCTGCACACGCCCTAAGGGGTCCTCGCCCGCACACCCCGCACACGCCGCCCTAAGGGGTCCTCTCCCCGCACACGTCCTAAGGGACCCTCTCCCTACACATGCTTGCCCTGCACACGCCCTAGGGCGTCCTCGACCTGCAGACTCCCCTAAGGGACCCTCACCCTGTATAATGCCCTAAGGGGTCCCCGCCCTGCACACGCCCTAAGCGGTCCCTGCAGACGACCTCAGGACCAAGACCCTTCAAGGCCTGTAGAACCCCAGGTCTGACATCCCCACGCAGGAGGCGCCCCACCTTGACGAGGAAGGCACAGGCACTCCCCCAGCTTCCCCCCCCCCGCCCCAGGGGCCCAGAAGAACCCCCAGCATCCTACTGACCTGAGGAGCTGGGCAGGGGTGCGGGGTCAGTGAGGCGCACCGAGACCTTCTGGCTGCCCGGTGGTGGGTGCCCCGCCCTGGCCGGCAGTGCAGCTCCAAGCGTCTGTCGGCCGCAGAGCAAGGCCACGGGGACAGGGCAGGCCAGAGGTCCTTGGGTTTGTGCAGCCCCAGCCCTGCCCGATGGCTGGTACCTGAAGGATGAAGGATGCTGGAAGGGAGCTGCTCGCATCCCGGAGCATACCAACTGCCTGGCCCGTGGGGGAGCGCGGACGCAGCCCCTGCGCGCACCCCCGACGCTGCTCGTCCCCGGCTGGCCGCCCGCCCCGCCCCCACTGCGGTCACCCCCAGTCCCCGCCTGAGCCTTCACCCAAAGGGCCGCCGCGGGGACCCCCCTCCGCGGGGTGGTCTGGGCCTGGACGACCCTGCAGCCGAGTGGGCTGGCTGCCGGGGACCCTGCTCATTTAGAAGTCTGACATCAGCTGGGCAGCAGCCCCCCCCTCCCTCCTCTGACACAGCATTTAGCACCCGAATCTTGGTTTCCCTCCCAGGGACCGTCCATTCCACAAACCCAGGAGGATGTGATGGGCCTCGGGTATCAGATCACCACCCCACGGTCTGGCCTCGAGTGAGTGGAGTGGAAGGTGCCTGAGGGACATGCCCAACGAGGTGGCCGACCAGAGGGAAGAAGGAGAAACTGCGGAAGAAGAGGTAGGTGTCCTGTCCCGGGGCAGACCAGGGATGGGGGGCACGGAGCCGAGGGGAAGGGTCAGTGGGGACCCTGGGAAGGGGGCAGCGGTACTGGCTGGGGGACCGGACCTCTGGGCCACACTCCCGCCCTCGCCTGCCTATGGTTGCGCCTGGTGCTGGAGGAGTAGAGTGTGGAAAGAAAGCGCCTCGGATGGCTGAAGGGTCTTGTCTGGAGCGATGAGACAGACAGATAAGGTCCTTGTCTACAAGTGCATGCGACCCAGAGCGACCCCCTGTTGTCGTTAGGTGTGTGGAGTCAGGCGGTCCTGGGAAATTACCCCACAGGATGTTCAAGGCTGTAGAGTTTAGGGAGCCCAGCGACCAGACCTTTCTCCCCATCATCCCCTGGGGGATGCGAACCGCTGACCTCTCTGCGAGCAGCCCGGCGCTTGACCACTGCGCCATCGGGGCTCGTTTCACTGAGACATAAGACACAGGCTGAGTCAAGACTGAGTCTTGGTGACGAGCTAGCTTAGCTGGACCCGAGGAAGGAAGAGGCCGTCCAGCTGGGGTCAGGGGCCCCAGATCACGCCCTGTGAACACGGAGAGCGAAAACGCGGGGTTGACGTGCCCAGGGGTCATTCATGTGCCCGGTCCTCTGGCCCAGCGCGCGAGGTGCGCAAGTTCCCCGAGATCTCCCGGCCCCGGGCGCCTGCGGGCTGTGCTCCTGTCTCACTCCACCTGGGGTGTGATGCCAGGAGAGGTGTGGACGGAGGGACAGGGCTGCGGACCAAGGCTGCGCGGACAAGGCCTGCCGCACGTGCAGTGGCCTGAAAGCGGGAGTTGATTTCTCCCCTAATCATGATGACCCACCGCGGGAAGGAAAAGCCGAGACGGCTGGGAGGGGAGGGGCTCGCAGCCGGGGCGGCCCCGCCCCCTGGTGGAGGACACGCCTCCCGCACAGCCGGGCCCGCCCCCCGGCGGAGGACACGCCTCCCGCACTGCTGGGCCCGCCCCCCGTGGAGGACACGCCTCCCGCACAGCTGGACCCGCCCCCTGGAGGCGGACATGCCTCCAGCACAGCTGCCCCGCCCCCTGGTGGAGGACACGCCTTCCGCACTACTGGGCCCGCCCCCTGGTGGAGGACACGCCTTCCGCACTACTGGGCCCGCCCCCTAGGAGAGGACACATCCCCCATGTTGCTGGGCCCGCCCTCTGTCGAAGGGCCCGCCCCCTGGAACTACAAAGTCGGCCAGCGGAAAGGGGCGGGACTTCCTCGGGAGGCGGAAGTCTCTCCAGGTGGTTGCCCTGGTAGCGTGCGAGGCTGGTGAGTCTGAGCTGCTGCGGATGGCGGCCTGGTTTCCATGGTGGCGAGGTTAGGTGGGCCCCCGACGACGAGCGGGCTGCAGGGCAGTGGCTGTTGGCAGCAGAGCCAGCCCCAGTTCAACGGAGAGGAAAGCCATTGTGACCGGTTAGGGAGCTGGATCTGCGTGCGGCTGTGCTGTCTAGGCAAACGGTACATCTTGGTTCAGTGACATGGCGCGTATGTTTTCATGAGAATTGTATGGTGCTCCGTGTCTGTGTTGTTGCTTGTCCCAGAGCAGTGATTTGAAGAGTTCAGCCAAAGCCCTGGAGCCTACAGGGGCAATGGGATCACCATGAATGGCTGCTAGGCCGAGCAACCTGACCATTTGGGTGAATGTCCTATGCAGCAATGACTTTGCATTGACTTGCTGTATCTCTGATTCCTTAAAGCCAGGACAGCAATGGAGAAAGGGAGCTATTCTTTTCCCCCTTGTTTGTCTCTTCTAGGAACCATCATCTGCCTTACCCCATGGCCAGGGGTGGCGACCAGGTGGCAGAGCAGCTAGGAACCCAAGGGCTGACCCTGGGGCCAGGCCCCCTACTCTCCCCGCCATGGTCAATGACCCATCTGTACCTGCCTTACTGTGGGCCCAGGAAGTGGCCTACGTCTTGGCAGGCCGTGCCCGCAAGCTGCTGCTACAGTTTGGAGTTCTCTTCTGCACCATCCTCCTCCTGCTCTGGGTGTCGGTGTTCCTCTATGGCTCCTTCTACTATTCCTACATGCCAACAGTCAGCCACCTAAGCCCCGTGCATTTCTACTACAGGTGAGAGGTAAAGGCCATAGGAGCCGGCAGAGGTGACGCCCTCCAACCTTCTCATTTACACATGAGGAAATGCAGGCCTTATTTAACTTCTTATCTTTGATTCATGGCCCAGGGTTGCCACAGGTCAGGCTTATCCAGCTTAGGGTCTTGCTTGTATCTCTGGTTGCTATGTTCTGATAAAAAGAAACACAAATGTCACTGCACTGTCCTTGTGAGGGTCGGAGCTGTTTAAGTTGGTTCTGGCTTTCCTCAGGCCCAGTGCAGAATTTTAAGGCAACACAAATCCTTGAGTAATCTGAGAGCTAGACTGGCCTTCAGCAGGTATGAAGAAAGCCCAGCAGGTATGAAGAAAGCCGAAATATACCTGTAATTAATCCCTCACCACCCCTGGTAGTCCTCTGCACAATGGAGATTACAGTAACACAAGGTGACTAACCTCATTTCCTTTTTTGTATTCTGCCAAATTCTCTCCCCATTTTTGCCTTAATAGTAGCTCTGGGCCCATCAGCAGATGCTGATAAAGGCATGAAAGTGAGTGGCCAGGCATCTTTTTAAAAAATCTTGTCTGAGAGTCTGTGCTCACGAATTCTATTATATGTGCTGCCGAAGCGAGCACAAATTCTAGTTTCTGAGGAAGGTGGGGCATAATCTTTTAGGTGCTTGGGTCTTAGAAAAGCTGTGGCCTTTCATGGCATAAAAGTATATACATGGGGGAGGAGTATATAAGTGAGATACGTATCTATATGAAGATAAATACATATTTATGTGTGTATGTTGTTTTGTTGTTGTATGTGCTGTCAAGTCAGAACCGACCCATAGCCAACCTTCCAGTGAGTTTTCAGAGCCTGTAAATCCCTTGGGAGATTGCCCCTCCTTCTACCACACAGCAGCTGGTGGATTTGAACCACATACCTTTGTGTTGGCAGCACAATTACTTACCACTAAGCCACTAAAGCTTTCCTTATATAGAGATTTATAATTTATGTGCACACAAACCCCACTTGCAATTTTGCCGCCAATTTCAGGATTTATGTTTTCTTCTTATCAAGCTCCTCAAATGGTTCTTTGTAAACACTGAAGTTTTAAATTATTCTGTAAGGAGTCCACAAATTCCCATAAAAAAATTCCTGTTGAAATGAGAGGAAAACTACTAAAATAGCAGGAAAAGACTAAAAAAAGATCCTTGTGGTATCTTGACTCTCCTGACCGTGTTTGTTCTCCTTCACTCACTAACAGAGACAAGGGGGGCCTGTTCTGGAGCTGTGAGACAGGTAGGAGGGGAAGGCAGGACCTGTAACCGCAGAGTCTGAGAATCATCCTGTATTCTCGTTTAGAACTGACTGTGATTCCACCACCACCTCGCTCTGCTCCTTCCCTGTTGCCAATGTCTCGCTGGCTAAGAGTGGACGTGATCGGGTGAGTATGGGTTTCACTGGCCATCTCGCCTTGACATAGAAGGACTTCTGAAAGATCCAGAGAGTTAACACAGGCGAGGGCGGTTGAAGGAGAAATTAATTTATATGAATGGTGTCTGTTGGTCTTTCCCTGGGAAGATGTTAAGAATGTTCTCATGTTTCAGGCAGATCATGGTTAGGAGGTAAGCAGAGCTATGTGTTTTAGAGCCAAAAAACGAACCAGATGATTTCCTGGGAGCAGAGTGGTGGCCACACAAGCGTTTTGAAAGCTCATGTGTAAAATTATGAAACTGTCGACAGATAATGTGTGACCTCTCATGACAAAGGGTACAGTGTCAGAGGACTGGCCAGATGCCAGTGTGACTCCAACAGGAAGGATCCCTCAGAGAACCTTGAGGAATCAGGGTTGGAACGCATCCTTCTATACTAAAGGCGAGGTGTGGAGGTCCTGATAAAGGGTGGCACGCCTGGATACTTGAAAGGAGGAGACACAGTTTCTGAGGGTGAGATTAGTTATCTGCCAGCATAACAGGCTGCTGTTCTAGTGGGCAGGAAGTTGCACTGCCAACTCAAAGCCGCTAAAGAATCAGAAGTAAAAGTGAGTGTTTTAGGAAACAGACTGAAAGATTAAAACCACAAGCTAAGCAGTTATGGCCGCTTTTCTTGCAGGGACAAATGTAAATGGTAAAGTTAGTGGGGCTCCCTGGGGCTGGTATTCAGATAATCCTTGTTAATATAAGCAATGACTGGCTTAAGGACAAGTTGTCCTAAATCTGTCTTTAAGTTGAATTTGTACCTAATTTGCAAGAGTTAGATACGGCTCAAAGCTAGTACCAGCCATTTAAATATTTTTTCTTCATATATGACTTAAGTAATTTGATGTCGAGTTGGAAATCAACCCTTAGCTGAGATCCTCCAGCCGGTTTTCAGAGGCCGTAAATCGCATGAGAGGAGATTGCCCATCTGTTTCTCTCAAAACAGCTCATTGATTTGAACTGCCTGCCTCTGGGTTGGCAGTCCAACTCCTCCACTAGACCACCGAGCTCTCCTTCATAGTATACTGTATTGCAAGAATGGCTGATGAGGCCATTGTAACTTTACAAGGAGAAGAACGCTAAGGAAGGAGGATAATTGAACAGAGGTGGGGACTCTTCTAAAATATGTGGCATGAAATTCTGTGAATCTCCTTGGATCAAATAATTATTTAAATAGCTGTATGCTCTCTTTTTTAAATATGTAAGTTTTATTGAGATAAAATTGACTTGCCATGTAGCTTATTCATTCAGAGTATACAGTGGAGTGATTTTCAGATCACTACAGAGTTGTGCTACCATCAGCATGATGCACATTAGACCATCTCATCACTCCAGAGAGAGAGCTCGTTCCCATTCCCATTCGCCTCTCATTTTCCCCGCTCCTGTGCAGAGAATACTGATTTCCAGGAATTCAGAGAAACATCAGATCTAGAATCACCCGACTCTAGTCATCTGGCAGGAATAGCAAGGAATCCTCTGGTCAGAAGGGAATTCAGACTGAGAATAAGAATCTGTATTAGGAGAGGAGGGGAGCTCTGGTGACCTAGTGGGTAAGGAGTTACACTGCCAACCTACAGGCAGGTGGCTGGAATCTGAACCTGCCTTTGGAAGTGCTCACACGGGGCACTCTGTCATCGCTGACCCTCCAGGGGATGCTCAGGAGGGATGTTATGAATCACACAGGAGGACATGGTCCATCTTCCTCCTGTGAAGCAGCTGATGGATTCGAACTCCCAGAGAATCAGAGGCTTTGGGTTAGCAGCACAACTCCCTATGGACTGTGCCCCCAGAGTACCTCTCAGTTCTTGTTTCACAAATTCATTTTCTCACTGGTTAAATACAAAATTTATGCGCCTAGATGAGAATCAGTGGCTGGATGAATAGCCGCACCAAGGTGTTTGGTGGCTAATCTTTAACCTGTCTGAGGTTGATCCCAGTGAGACCTTCCTTCCGTCTCGGCGTTCTGCCAGCAGAAGCCCAGCTAAGTGGCATTGGCACTGACAGAAGTGCCTGAGTGATGAGAATGGTGTGAGAGCTGGTGAGGGACACTGGGCTCTGTTGGCGCTTAGTTAATTAACACTGTGAGTGTGAACAGGCAGGGCCGGAGGGACAGCCTCACCAGCACACAGGGCTGAGTCACAGATGGCCCAGTTGGCAACTTGACACATCACTGTTAGGAAAGGGATATGCGCCACAGCCATTCTCAGAGCAGAGCAGAAGGGCCCAGAGATCACACTTGTCCCCCGGTATCCAAGGGGGATTGGGTCCAGCACCCCCACAGACACTGGAATCCACAGATGCTCAAGTCCCTTACATAAAATAACCATGTCACATTTGCATACAGCCTACGCACATCCTCCCACTATACCTGAAATCATATCTGGAGTCCTTGTAATACCTGATAGCGCGTGAATGGTGTGATGCTGTGAACTCTGCTCCTTCTTGGTCTTTGACCACGTAGTTACTCCTCCCCCCTCAGTGTTTTTAATCAGCTGTTGGTTAAATCCATAGACTCTGGGTACATACTGCATGGGAAGGGGGGGCCTGCAGCCACCAGAAGGGGGCAGCACCTCCCCAGGCTGCACGATTGAAAGCTCCCTTGTGTTAAGAGGATGAAGAGCCATTGTGTGTTGAGAATGATTTTCTGAGAGCTGGGGGCTTCCCTGGGCAGGTACTGATGTACGGGCAGCCCTATCGTATTACCCTGGAACTTGAGCTACCGGAGTCCCCCGTGAATCAGGACCTGGGCATGTTCCTGGTCACCATTTCTTGCTACACCAGAGGCGGCCGGATCATCTCTACTTCTTCACGCTCAGTAAGTGTGCGTGTGCGGGGCCTGTCAGAGCGGACTGGGGAGTAAGAGCAGAAGTCAGTCCCAAAGCAGCCGCACTTGGCAGAAGGCCCCAGATATCTAGTGATCACATCCAGATTTGGGGTGAACGTTCCCTGAAAACAGGCTTCAGAGTTAGACCTGGGCTTGGGTCCTCGGGCACAGAGCTGAGGGACAAATTGCTTACTTACTGTCTTTTTTGTAAAGGACTGGAAAATGGGCATAATAGTAACCCAGGAACCTTGATGGCACAGTACATTGTGGGTCGGGCTGCAACTGAACGCTACTAGATTGGAGCCCACCAACTGCTTCGCAGGAGAAAGATGCCATTTTTCTCCAGCAAACCTCAGAGACCCGGGGGAATGCGGTTATGAGTCAAAATCTACTCGTGTACACCCGAGGGACAAATGACTTCATCTCTTCTTTATAAAATATTCTAAAATGGGTCAGATAGTAATTGCCTTGAAGCAAAGCCAGTTCGGAATTAGTAAGGAAAAGTAAAGGTTTTACTAGTGTGGACCCACTGCTGTTGATTGGATTCCAGCAGCCCTGCAGGCCGACGCATTGCTCGGTGGACTGTCCACACTGCAGCTCTTCACGGAAGCAGAGGCGTCCCTTTCTCCCATGCTGGGGTATCATGGGCTCGACCTGTTGGTTAGCAGCCTTGTTCTTTAACCACCAAGCCTCCTGGTATCTCCTGGGCACCTGACAGGCACTTGGGGGCTTTTGATGAGTTAGAGTCCATTCCTACATGAACTCTCAGCAGAAACACATCCTGAGGCAGTTCCCTGAGTGATGTGGAGTGATGCTTCGGAGGGTGCGCGGGAGCTCAGCATCCATACTAGATTGTAGAAGGGTTTTGGGGACAAATGACTCAGAGACAGACTTCTTGGAAGGGGCCTTTGTTGGAGCTGGAATCGAGAAATGTGTTCAGATAGGGGAGGTGGTTATTAAACATTACTTATTATAACATTATTTAGAATGGTTAGGTCGAGAGCAGAGGGGTGAGAAGTTCGAGGAGCTGCCTTCATTGACTGCTCGGGAGTGTTTGAGGGCTGGTAGGAATCTGGGGCAACTGTCCCCAACCTCTCCCTCTCTGGCCCTGCCAGGTGATGCTCCATTACCGCTCGGACCTGCTCCAGACGCTGGACACTCTGGTCTTCTCCAGCTTCCTGCTGTTGGGCTTTGCCGAGCAGAAGCAGCTTCTGGAGGTGGAGCTGTACTCGGACTACAGAGAGAACTCGGTGAGAGGGCAAGGGTGCCGGGTGACAGAGGAGGGCCTCGCCACCAGCCAAGAGTTCTGCCTGAGGAACCTCAGCTCTGGAGGGAGCAGGGGAGGGACGGCAGCAGAGCCAGGAACGTGGCCTGATTCTGCCCCCGACCCCACCCCTCGCAGTATGTGCCGACAACTGGAGTGATCATCGAGGTCCACAGCAAGCGAATCCAGCTGTACGGCGCCTACCTCCGCATCCATGCCCATTTCACAGGGCTCAGGTAAAGAGGACTGAGGTAGACCTCAGCAGCTGTCATCAGGTTGTCTCAGCTGAAGAGAGCAGAGGTAGTGTAGCGGGTTTTACCTGGAGCAGAGGTTCCCAGCCTTGGCCACACATCTGCTCTCCCTGGGGAGCTTTAAGAAAAAACCAAAAAAACCCCACCGAGGTTTAATTAGAATCAGAGGGAAAAGTGTAGAGCAAAATTCCAAGTTCCTAAAAAAGTCCAAGCTGACTGGACCAGCAGGGACTAGAGGAACCTTGAGACTTATTCCCGTGGGATAGATTTTAAATTGGAACCCAGACTGCTTCCAGAGGCCACCTGTCAGCCAAAGAGGGTGGCCAGAACATAAATAATCTGCCAGAAAAATAACTAATTTCCTGTGAGTGCTGTGTTTCTAAACAATCTTCTTGGTGAGACCTGACAGCCAGTATTCACCCTGGACCAAAGATGAGTTAGCGAAGGGGAGAGCGAGACTGAAGGAAGCCGACCAGCCAGAATGGGACATGGGGGTGAAGGGTGCAACCAGCAATATATGCAGAAATGGTTAAATGAGAACCTAATTTCCTATGTGAATTTTACCAAAATACTGGAAAAAAAACCCCAACAACCCCGAGCCCTATGCCTGGGCCTCAGTAACTAACTGAACTAGAATTGATCAGATCCATCTGTGTGGAATTTTCTAGAACGTGCCAGGGATGCTTGTCATGAGTGACTGAATCACCCGGGGTTTGGGCGGCTCTCGGCAGGCAGCCACGGTGGACACTGTTGCGTGTGGCCCTGCCTCCAGCGCTGAGCTGAACTGCCCATGAGTCCTTGGTTTTGTCAGGACCTCATGATCCTCGCTGCCCCCCAGCTGACCTCTGGTAACTGGGTGGAGGGCAGGGAGGTGGCCACAGCCTCTTGTGCTGCTCACTTGCATTCCCTGTAAGTGATTTCTGGAAAACGGATGAGCTGCGTGCTCTCCAGTCACTGCTGCTTCCCTCTCGCCCCTCTTCTGGCCCCAGGTACCTGCTGTACAACTTCCCCATGACCTGTGCCTTCATCGGCGTCGCCAGCAACTTCACCTTCCTCAGCGTCATCGTACTCTTCAGCTACA